TGGAATGTTCCTCAAGGGGCAATGGACTCTGTGATTGACCTTATTCATGATTTAGTTGACCCAAATCTAGAGATACCTGATAATTTCTATAAGGCAAAGAGGTTGGTATCAAAGTTAGGAATGTCATCGATGAGAATTCATTGTTGTGAAAATGGTTGCATGTTATACTATAAGGATGATATTGATCTAGAATCGTGTAAGTTTTGTGGAAAATGTCGTCATAAATAGACAGCTAGTGGGAAGAAAGTTCCTATTAAGGCAATGCATTACTTACCTCTTATACCAAGGTTAAAGAGGTTGTATGCGTCTAAGATCTGCTCCTCATATGAGATGGCACCATGAACATAGAAGACCACCTGGAGTTATGTGTCATCCATCCGATGGAGAGGCTTGGAAGCATTTTGATAAAACATATCCACAATTTTCAGCTGAACCACGTAACATTAGATTGGGTAAAAAATGTGCTTGGCGTCCGGAACATGAGGCCAAAATTTGTGTAAACTTTCACAAGAAAGCTACGCATACTCTTGCTAGTTTGTTTAATAAAGCTCGTAGAGATAATAACAAACCTAGCTGGGTTCTACCGGAGGATTGGGCAAAATTACTCGTGCATTGGAAATATGATCCAGGATTTAATCAGATGAGTGACATCGGTAAAATGCAAGATCATCTACTAAGGGTGGTTCTCTACACACAAGTGGGGCTCAAAGTCAAGGAAGTGTTAGGAGGAAATTGGTGTGTATCATTTTCTTTGTGTTTATATATTTTATGTATTAATATTTAATTACTCTTGATTATAACTTTATTATTTTATGTAGGAAAAGGAACTAGGAAGACCGATAACTCAAGCTGAGGCATTTAAGGCAACACACATTAAAAAGAAGAAAAATCCTGAAAATCCAGACGTGTGGGTTGAACCGCGAGCTGAAATGACCTATGTAAGCCTCTAATTTTAAAAAATAATTACTTATTTTCTAAATTTATATTCTCATATTATAACATTCAATTTTGGAATCGATATCTTCAAGCTTTGGAGGATTTAGAACAAACTCTGCCGGAAGAAAATCGAGGTATGCCACTTACTCAAGAACAGGATGATAGAGTTTGGTTAGACTTGACTTGTGGGCCGAGTAGATATGGGTATGCATATGGAATGCCGCATAAAACCTTTCGTGAATTTTCTTCTGAGTTTGAAGGCCTAAATAGTTCAAATCATGATGAATCGACGAAGAAAAATTTGGCTATGGAGAAAAAGATTGTTGAGCTATCTAGCCAATCCTAAGAATCACGGGCTAGGGAAAGGCTGTTGGAATTACAGTTTGTGGGTCTTAAGGCTCAATTCGATGCATTACTTGCTTCAGGAGGGATTCCTCCTTGTTCTGGTGATGTCACTTTTCCTCCTCGACCTCCTCAATCTCTACCTACTTAATATCCAATGTATGGTCAACAAAAGAAATATGACCCATGAGACTAGTAGTGATGAAGAAAGTGATGATTATGTGGCAAACACACTATCACATTAGTTTTGTTAACTTTATAATTTTGTGATGGGAATTATTTGTTTTGTGAATACATGATAACGTTGCAATGTATTATATAACTTATGTATATCATGGTTTTTGTTTAATATATAATTATGTTGAAGTGAGTTGCAATTGAGTTGATAAGAGAATATTTAGTAAATGTATTGCTTCAATTGATTTTTTGAAGCTCTTTGAGTTTGATTTGGGTACTGAATTAAAATGACAGGTGATGAGAAGGCGCAGAAATAGTAATTTTCTGCCAGTTTTTTCCAGAAAAAGAGACCTCATGAGGTCTCTTTTTTGCATTAATTTTTCAGATATTTCATAATAGAGACCTCATGCGGTCTCTCTTTTGCATTTATTTATTAGATATTTCATAATAGAGACCTCATGAGGTCTCTATTTAACATTTTCTATTTTATAAATGCAGAAAAGAGACCTCATGAGGTCTCTCTTTTGCATTAATTTTTTCAGATATTTCATAATAGAGACCTCATCAGGTCTCTAATTAACATTTTATATTTTATAAATAAAGAAAAGAGACCTCATGAGGTCTCTTTTCTGCATTATATTTTCCGTAAATTTCATTATAGAGACCTCACGAGGTCGCTAAAAATAAATGCAGAAAAGAGATCTTATGAGGTCTCTCCTTTAAAATAATATAAAATTAAATTAAATAATATCTTAGCAACCTAATGAGATCTCTTTATTAAAATATAAAATTAAATAATATAATAAAATTGTGACCTCATGAGGTCTCTATATAAAAAATATAAAATTAAATTAAATAATATAGTAGTGACCTCATGAGGTCTCTTTTTTTAAAAAAAATCAGATAATTTGTTGGTGACCTCGTGAGGTCTCCGTTTGGCGGCCTTATGAGGTGTCTGTAAAAAAGTGACCTGCATTTTACTGACCTACCGTTGAGGTCTCTTTTTCCCAAAAAGAGACCTCGTGAGGTCTCTTTTCTAGGTCTATTTTTGGCCTTTTTTTAGTAGTGTTTAGACTTCTCAGAGTGCATAATCAAGGTATTTAGGTATGGTGTCCGGTCAGGTTCAGTCAAAACATCTCAGAGGGGCAGTTCTATTAGAGGTTATTGCGAGTGTGGTGTAATAGGTCACTTTTCTCAAGAGTGCCCTACACTCAGCATCATAGAAGGTAAGGCCAGCAAGTTTAGGCCCCAGGGCTCTGGTTCAGTCGATTAGAAGTGGTCCCCAAGGTACTAGAGGTGGTCATGTGCAGAAAAATCGGATGGTTGAGGTGGATGCAATTATATGTATGTTTTTCTAGGGAGGCTGGAGGCGGATACATTAGATATGCTATTTTCATAGGTTCGATCTTCGTCTCTCATCGACTCTGATGCTTTTGATGTTGGCCTAGGTTGTGTCTTGATGCAACATGGTAGAGTTATTAATTAATTATATTTTCAGGCAGGTGAACCTTAATGAGAAGAATTAAGTCACTCATGACATGGAGCTAGTGCTAGTAGTCTTCGAGTTGAAGATTTGGTGGCACCACTTTTTATGGAGTTCTCTTTGATGTATTCACCAATTATCGTAGCCTTTCTTATATCTTCAGCAAGGTACCTTAATATGAGATAGACAAGTAAATTGAGTTACAAAAGGACTACGACGTTTCTATACTCTATCACCCGAGCAAGACTATTGTGGTACATACTTTTAGAGTTGCAAGACGGTAACTGTAGGGGCGGATCTATGGGTGCTCGTGGGGATGCCACGACACCGACTGATCTCGGAAAAAACTTTGTATATACATGTATATTTGTATAAGAAAGTTAATATATAGTTTCTTTGCCACCCACTAAACAGTATGGTAAATAGTTTAATTGGCAAAGTAGGTCATGTGCCACATATCTAGTGTGGCATTGAACCTCGTCTGCGACATTAATTTTTTTTGGAAGTGAAGCTTTTTCTTTCTCTTTTTTCCTTTTTTTTGGGTCATTTTTATTCACCTTTTTCTTTCTTTCTTTTTTGTCATTTTTATTAATGTGTGAAGCTTTTCTTTTTCTTTTTTTACTTCCGTTCATTCTTATTTATTTATTAGTATTTTTTATTAATTCTAATTGATTCTTATTCACCATAATTAATTCTTAAGTTTCTTTACTTTTTCTTTCACCAATTATTAATCTTTTGATATGGGTGTCTCGTGTTTATTCTTTTATTAATTAATGAGTATTGAATTATGAACGTGACATAAATATTATTAAGAATATATTTGAATAGTAATTTTAAAAAAATATAAGTTTGTAAAAATAGTGAATATTATTATTAGAGTTCTTTTAATTTGAAAGTTCTTTCGATCTTCACCAACGTTCTTGGTAAGTAGGATGGCTAGATTGAACTAAAATTTGTAGTCTCTTTGTTATATTTTGCAACAACGCATAAATTCAATATATTAAGTTAACACTATTAGATAGTTTATAAAAACTCAAACTTTAGAATGAAAATTCTTTTTTTTCCTCAAAGTTTCAGCGAATAAAGCCACTAATTCCTAAAAAAAATAAACATTGAATTACTTATTTAGTATCTAAAAGTAAATATTACCAACATGCATGTTTAATTGATTTGTTTATAAAAATCGAAAAAAGATAAATAACTCAAAATTAAAGCAATCGACCCGCTTTACTTAAACAACACGGCACCAAGGACCTCCAAATCGTAGATCCGCCTTTGACGGTAAGCATGGAGAGTTTGGATTTCCTAGATGTGGAGGAGAGACCTATGACTTTAGCCATTCATTACTTACCCAATTAGATGATTATGCTTGATATTTCTTAGTTGGGAAGAGTACTTACATGTGTGGAGGCTAGATTGTCCTTGCTCGAGCAGATTTTGGCCCAACAATTTGAGGATTCGCAGTTGAAGGTGATTCGGGACAGGGTCCTTATCGTTGAGGCTAGGAAGGTGACCTTAGATCCAGAGGGCATCTTGAGGATTGAGGGTTGTATCTATGTTCCTAGAGTTGGTAAGTTGCTTGGGCTGATTCTTCCTATTGTTTTAGATATTTGATGATGTATCGTGATCTAGACAACACTATTAGTGATCTGGGACATTGTTTTATAGAAAAACAAAAATACAATTCAACACCTATCATTTACTTAAGTTACTTGTTCATCCGTCCATTTAACTAACAATATTAATCTCAAAGCAAGTGAGTCGTTGTACCATTATTACTTCATCTATAGAGCCACTTACTATCGTCATTTCAAATACGAAGTCACTCAACTAATACAAACGATATTTCTAATAGATATGGCTTGAGTAAAAATTTTTCGATGAGTCATTCTGATAAAAAGAAAGGAAGGTCAATTTAAATGGTTCAATAGCCATATTTCTTTAATACTTAAAAATATTTTCGAGTTTTTTCTTTACTCTTATTTTGTATTTAGACTACGACAATTGACAACTATGGTAAAATCATATAAAAAATTAGATAGAAATAAAGGAGCAAAAATAGAAAGACCATTTATGATAACAGAAAATTCTAAAACTTCATTTTTGAATGGATATTAAGAGAATTAATCTGAAGTTTCATTTTTCAAACCCTAGAAAATCTACACATGTCCTTGACATTCTTCAACAGTATCACTCCCATTTTCAATCCAAACTGTTGGAGTCATTGCTCTGGATCTTGTTCTCCCGGTAGAAACCAGTTGGGTTCCGTAGTTTTAGAATTTTGTTGATCCCAAGTACTCCATCTTCATCTTTGCATATAGGAAAGACTCATTCTTCTAAAACTAAAAACTAAAAAGTGGATGAGTGGATAGCAAAAGTAAGCAAAGTTGTATAAATGTACTACTACCTACATGGTGAATATTCAAACTATAAACCATTATACAATTATTCTATCACACACATTCTCAAGTAACTGCAGATACAGATTAAACCACAAGCCAGTCCAACATTATTCGCCATTATAATATGTGCAAGAAATGTGCGGCGCCATTTGTATTTTACCAGTTACCAAGAATCTCATTTGTAAGAATTTCTATCAGCATGAGTGTCTTTGTAACGTTGGAGCAAGTACGTCTCGCATTTGATTGGAGGATACCTGATAGAACAGCAACCAGACAACAACTTCATTAAGCAAAAGTACTGAGGACATAAAGGATTTCTAACAAGCAAATCTCATATTTTTAAAAAACCAATGAAATATGTTTTCAAAAACTACGGACAAATACACGTTCAAACTTCATCAGATATAATTTTCCAAAACTATTTAGAAATGTATGAGCAAACGATAGCTTAGTTTTGTGCCGCATTTAGGCATATATTACTTGCCTCGGTGGGTTGACTTTGGATTGGCAGGTTGGCAAGCATTCAACAAGACAGTCGTGACTTGGCTCCATAAAATATGCAATCTGCACAACATGAAGAAGAGTGACAAAATCATTTGTTCTCCCATTTCCATAAGAGCTAATTATCTTCTTTCTTTTGAACAAGTTATATCACATATAGTGACCATGAAAGATCTCCTTCCCTTCACTTATATAATTAGACAAATACATTATATTATAACATTCTAAAGACATTTCTTTCCGGGGTTAATAAGTACTCTTCTAAAAGGTTTGATAGTAAAATTGAACAATTCTCTTTAAATGATTACGCCATTTATAATATTTCAATATGAAAGCATCCAAAAACCATTCAAGGGCTTACAGAAAATCTTTCTTGACCATTTGCAAGGACCCGATGCAGTGTTGATCTGAACAGAAGAGCAAAAAGTTAGCTGACAAGAAAAATAGTGCGATTAGCGTAATTTTTAGAAACGAAGGAACTTAGTGATATTAGAAAAAATTGCCAAAAGATTTGGGGACGGGGGATTATATGGTACTTTTAGAAAGATAGTGAAACCAATATTGCCAGACTTCTGATCTACTTAAATTCTCAACATGCAGAACGATTATATATTACCTGAAAACACCATTGCTCCAGCGCTCAAGCATATCACCAAGATTCACTACAAAAGCACTGTAAGTAGAATGTCAATCACAATATCCCCATAATTTCTGCTGCAAACTAATTTGTCCATTAGATTATAGAGGGCAGGAACTTCTATTTCACTTTGTAGATGATTTAGACTTGACGTTAATATTGTTAACAAAAGGCATGCTGCCTTTGTTGGATACTGCAGGAAAAGACATGTTTCTAAGCAATATCAGACCTTCCAAGTTATAACTTGTGTTCTACTTACAATTTTAGAGGATAGAACTAAGAAGCTTATTATGTCTCACCTTTTCAATGGTGGCACATACTCCCAAATCTGAGGCTTTGCATCCTTATCCTTGCATATCTGAAAGACTTTTAAGAGTTAATGCTCTACATCAACAATGAAGAATATATCTAGAAAATTGAAAGTACTTTAATGATTTACCTGAAGGCCAGAGACATCATCTGTGGCCAAAAGAGTTATCAGACCATAGTCAGAATGTGCACCAGCTCCAAAAATTCCATTTGATGGATCAGAAAGTTTGCCTAGTTTGACATGAAATCAAAATATCAGTTCACTTCAAATAGAAAAGCATGATGGCTCTGGTGATATTTCCCCATATTTACCTTCATAATGCAGTAGGCGCAAAGTAGCAATTGGTCTGCCAAGAAACTCTGGCCGATCAAAAAAGTCAACATCAAGATCAAGTGCAAGGGCTATGAGCCTTGATACTGCTTTTGTCACCTCACTGATGCAGGCCAAAGAAAGGAAGCAAAATGATGGAAAATGAGAAATGCAGCGGATGAGACAATCTTGAAGATCTAATGCAATATGCTCATTAACAAGATAATGAGAACGTATAAAATATAACGAATATGATTGGAAGACAGTAACTCACAGTGCCTCTTGATGATACTTCTCCATAGTTTCCTTCCATCCAGGCAGGGTACCTTTCAGAATACTAACCAATGTAACTTCTAAGTGCTTCATAAAATGTTGACGTTTAGGAAGGTCATGGTGTATTCCTCAGGTAAATGACTAGAAATCCCTCGAAAGTTACCTGCAGTAGGCCACACATTTGACCCATAAAATGGTCTCTGAGCTTCAGGATCATCTTCAGGTACTTCAACACCAATGTAATATCCCTCCTTATAGTCACCTAAGGCCCATCAAAAAGCAGCCAACTAAGTGAAGAAGTAGCTTTTTCCTACTTGTTATTCCCATACAGTTATTAAAGAAAGTGAAAAGACAAATGCAGATATTACAGTGTGAATGCAGCTACCTGTAATCTCGTAAATGGTGTATTAATAATACATAAAAACTTTGTAATGGGAAGACCTCACACAAGATAGTAAACCATATACCATTCAATATGAATAAAAAGCATGCATCACTATTCTCATTTTCAGATAATACAGACAACTATTGTGTGAGCTCTATCTTGACTAATCACTTGGTAGCCTCTGCTTAAGTAGCTTTTCACACTGTTCTACGATTAGATACTTATATTTCTTATACTGCGAGAGTAAAGAGAATCAGAGTCTAACCATCCTACACCTATGAGCATTCTCTCTGACTCTTTCTCTCTCAGGTAGGTGTCTAGGTGAGAATTGTTATCTTTTGTTTGTAAGAATATCTATTTTGGGCATCTTAATTAGTTTAATCCTACTGGTAGTGCAGTGAACATTGGGTAGTAATAAGGCAAATATCCCCTCTAACTCTAATCCAACAATAAAATGAACAAGAGAGATGATAGATACATACCATTTATTTGATTGTCAGGATCCAAATGTTCATCTAGACTAGGAGTATAGCCCCGATGTTTTTCATTTCTAAGAAGCTTCATCTTCTCTTCCAAAGGAAGATCAAAGAGCTTTTTGCTTTGAGCGAAAACCTCATCCATAAACTCCTGGCTAATACCATGATTGACAACATAGAAAAATCCTGAATCTAAGCAAGCCTGTGACCAATAGCAAACACATATGAGCTAATGGAGCAATAAGATATCTCAATGGAAAACAAATGAAGATGAAAGAAAGGAAATGTGACCAAAAAAGGAGAGATAGTGGTGATTCTATAAAATGTAGTTAATAAAGGTCCTATCCTTTGCAGGGGGCGGGAACTTGGGGAAATATTGTCTGAGAGACAACATTTGATCATTTACAGTTTGGTAATTTCCTGCTAGGTGGAAAGAAAATAATCTTCATGTTGAAAGGTTTTGACAGGACAAAAATGAGATGATTAAGAGCACTTCCACTGCGAACAGTAGTTAGTTGAAAAGCAAGCAAAGAGCTAGTGAAGGCCGGAAAGAGCTAGTGTTGAATCCAATCTGAAGCTCGTCCAAACAAGTGAGGAACGAGTGACCACATGCTCTGGTTAGACGGTCGACATGTAGTTAGCTTAAAACATGTTCATCAAAGTAAGTAACGGACAAAGAGAGGGCTTCAAAATAATTGTTGATTCCATGTTTTAACAGAAATTTCAATTTGTCCAACAGATTAAATCTCCTAAAAAATATAGACTATTCGGAAAATGGTGTTTTTATATAAAAAGAAGGGAACCTAGACTCTTTGTATCTAATTCAGGTGAATTTCACAACACAGCTCATTCATTCTCCTCAAACGTTATATGGTAAGTTGTTCTTTTACAGATGCTACCATCAGCCTCGATAAATAGCCAATAAAGATCATAACTCTTCTTCATTAAACACACATGAATACATACAAATGCATAATATATATTGCTAGTTTCTGTTATACACGTGATTTTTTCCAAAGTTAAGGGGTGCACATGTACCCCTAATTTTGTATGTGGAACCGCCTCTGTATACATATAAGAGAGAGAGAGAGAGAGGTACCTGTTTGAGGAGAGAAACAGAGGTATGAATGTCAGGGCTGGAGAGATCGATACAGTGTAAAGCAGAAATGTTGGCAGAATCAATTCCATCATTCTTCATGTTCCTTCCTGCCTTATTATTCATGAAATCAACAATTAGTTTTCTTCTCTTCTTTCCTCGGTTTTAACTCCGAAGGCTTCACTAATGTGCTAATGGACTTGCCAATGTGATTTTATTTTAAACTTGATAATATGATTTTACAATTTCAAACAATTATGGCATATCAAGATTTAAGTTAGAAAAATCTTTTGATTTTCTTTTTAACACTTAGACATAAAATAAAACGGGACAATAGAATACTTTTGAGAACTCTCTTCTTCCTTTATGTAAACCACCTCAAAGTTTTTGATTTGGATGATTGCACGTCTTTGGAGTTTGATGTTATTACATCACTTGAATAAAAACATGGTTGATTAACTGTTGGGGTTGAGGAGATACAAGAATGTATAGAGCATGTTGAAGTAGATGAGTCAGGCTTCAAGGGGAGCATGGTGCAATGGTCAGATCAATGAGGATTGTATTTCCGAAAGATGTTTGAGCAACCAATTACTTGAGAGTAGTTGACATTACTCACTTGATTAGAAGTATGCCCCCCTTTGATATCTTATTCTAGAAATAACACTCCTATTAAGAATGAAACTTTCCTAGACATAGTGAAGGAAGACCAACTGGATCACACACAAGAGCGCTGACCCAATGCAGTAAGAATATATTGCAGGAAATAGAAAGAGTGCAAGATGTTATAAGGTGCATGAGGTACAGTTTGAGACTGAATTAGAGAATAATATCGAGCTGGATTAGTGAAGGGAAGAAGTGTCAACAAATCATATTAAGAACCAAGACCACTAATGTGGTTATGAAGTTAGATGTGGAAAATAGTTATGATAGATTATCATGGTTATGTTTATCCAAGCTAATTGATAGGGTTTACAAATCACAAGCAATAATTGGTAGTCAACAAGAGGTGGATATCATCACTAGTGAATCTTTTGGATTGTTTATACATGTAGTATCAGTGATTAATTGATGTATGGTTTGGAATAGTAGAGTGGGTGGGAAGAGTTATATATACCAATTGAATAGTAGAGTGGGTGGGAAGAGTTATATATACCAATTGAATAGTAGAGTGGGTGGGAAGAGTTATATATACCAATTGAATAGTAGAGTGGGTGGGAAGAGTTATATATACCAATTGAATAGTAGAGTGGGTGGGAAGAGTTATATATACCAATTGAATAGTAGAGTGGGTGGGAAGAGTTATATATACCAATTCAGAAAGCCACCAAACCTAAGGTGAAAGGTAGTCTGGAACATAATGTCCCCCCAGAAGGAAGAATCCAAGAAAAGTAGTTATCAGACATGGATGGACAAGGAAACGCAGCATATGCTCAAGCTGGTAAGAAGGTTAGCTTTATAATCATTAATTAATAAAAATTACCTATCAATTATTGTAAACAAACATTTGGATCATATCCATCCATATTTCATCAATGGAAACAACATGTACAAGAAATAACAAAAATCAGTGATTTCATACATAAAAATCCATACATGTATGTATATATACAGAAATAAGTGAAAGATCGAGGGCACAAGTAGCAGCTAACACAAGACAAATTAACAAACAAAAGGGGAAATTATATATAACTTACTCCACCATAAACAAGGATTCACGGAGAGAACAATGGGCCCCAAAGAATCTCTTACCACCCAATGTCTCGAAGAATCTCTAAGACACAAATATATTTCTTATTTTTAATAATATGCCCCAAACTTTTTTATTTGAAGCTCATGTAAGGAAGGAAGTGGGTTATATATATCTCAATTTATATGCAAATGACTCATATATATATATATATAATATATAGAGGAAGTGGCTTATATATATCTCAATTTATATGCAAATGACTCATATATATATATATATATATATATATATATATATATATATATATATATATATATATATATAGGAAGGAAGTGGCTTATATATATCTCAATTTATATGCAAATGACTCATATATATATATATATAAGAAGGAAGTGGCTTATATATATATCTCAATTTATATGCAAATGACTCATATATATATATATATTTTCTAATAGAAATGAAAAAAATAATTTTAATCTAATTTTAAAAATATAATCCTTTATGAGTAAATTTAATTCTCGTCAAATATATCCGTTTGATTTTTTTTAATGACTAATTTAGAATTATTATTTTGATAATCAAATTTATTTATGTTTCACTAATATTCTTATAAAACTTATTGTAGATGACCAAATATTTTTTTTCGAATACAAAAATTAATACAATATAGACAAAAAAAATAAGTTAAATTTTTTTTACACTAAGGAATAAAAGAAAGAAAATAAGAATAAGAAACTCAAATAATTATTAATAAAAGAAGTCCAAAAATAATTTATATATGAAAAAAATTAAAATATACCTTGAACTTTAATAGAAAATTAATATATATTATCCTAAATATTTTTTTAAAAAATATAAATTTAAGACTAATTTTTTAACTTCCGTTAAATGAAGAATATAAATGAACTTATTTTGTAGCGGTAAGAATATATGTAAGCCGTTTATATATATAAGTCTCTTTTATAACGAAGAATATATCAACTCTAAACCATAAAGTTTAGAAATATATCAGACCCTTTCCCCTTTTTAATATATAATAAATATATTCATTTATTTATAAATCTAATAAAAGTGTTAAAATTTCATTATCTACCTAATTGGCTAATAGATTCACTATTTTGTCTTCTTCGTCACTAAACTCCATAAAATCTAACGCTGTTAACTAGTACATTCTCTCATAAAATTTACAATTATCTCTTGACCAATTTTGTATCTAGTTTCAAATATATACAATAAAATAATTAATTTATAATAAAGAAGTGAAAGTTTTTGGCTAAAATCGTTCTTTAAGTATGATTCAAATTTAATGTATATTCTTATATTATCTATGTGAGCAAAAATATCCTTATACTATCCAAAAAATAACAAGAATTATCATTCAGACTATTTTTGTTGAGAAATTAATTGAACAAATAATTATTTTTTTAATTTGATTATGTCTTAGCTACATCAAGAAGATCAATGTTACCTAAAAAAAAGATATGGATAAAAGATGAATATTTTATTCTCATAATTTAAATTTAGTGTGTTGGTAGTTTATATGTTCTTTTTCCTGCATAATCAAGTGAATTGACTTGCAACAATACATAAGTTTTGAAATATTTATACAGTAGGATCCAATTGTATGAAAGATTATGCAAAAAAATTATTTTAAAAATATTATGTGCAACTATTTAGAGATTCTCTTTGATAAAAAAAAATTATATAGTACGTATATACTATATAGATAATGCAATTCACATTTTATACAATATATAAAAATATTGGTAATTTAGTGAAATTATGTAGGCAAACTGTTGTGAAAATTAAATAATAATTACTTTATTTGAAATTTGTAAAAATGGAGTTGTATTTGGACAAATTTTTTTACAAAGTATATTTAGAATTTGAATATATTTTGTCTGAATATTTTAATCCTCAATTTCTAAAAATTAAAAAAATCGCCCAACTTGACTAGATTAATCGTGTGTACATATACTCATTCGACTTGACACATTTTTTTGTTGGTGGCTTGAGTTTCTTAAAAAAAAAATAGACAGAAGGATGAATCTTATAATTTTTTGAATAGTGCAAAGATATTTTTTGTTTACTTTTGTAATACAAGGATGTACTTTAGATTTTGATCATAGTTGAGAGATCATTTTAACCAAAAACTCAAAGACGTGATACATAAGTATCCCTAAGCAATAATCAAAATCTCGGCGATACAATTAAACTTAACTAGTACCTATTACCAACTAAACTATTTTAAAATGGAATAAACACACCCAAGAGCTGACATGGCAAAAAGGGTGTGCATACTCTCAAAACTAAAATATTGTACAAATATCCTTTTTTGATTGGTCTATTTCCGATAAGTCACATATAATTATTTACATTAAAACATATATACTTAATTATTTTCATATTTTTGCCAAATATTTATTTTAATTTCTTCCTCACTTTAAACTTTTTATTTTATCTCTTTCTTTAATTTAATATGTTTTTAATTATTTTTAAAAAGATTGTGTATTTTTAGAAAATGATAAACTAAAAATTCTCCTTTACGTTTTATTTTTTATGTTGTATTTAATTTTCTTCTTATTTTGATACCCTTCCAAAATTAAATTATTTTAAATTACACCAAAAGAAAAGATAAAGAAAATAAAAGGAATAAATAAAATCAATTAAAAAAAGAGAAAAAAATACTGAACAAAGGTTTAAAAAAAACAGACAAAATAAAGTTCAAAAACAAGATTTTTTTAAAAAAAAATTATGTGTATTGAATTAATTTAAATACAAGATAAAGAAAGTAAAATATTTTTAAAATAATATTTTTTTAAAAGAAACTAAAAATATAATTACACACGTGCCAAATAAATCTTGTACAAACATATTTAACTTACCTAGTTGAATATGCTATACAAGCACAAAAGGTGTAGGAAATATATATATAAAAAAACAAGTTTGTTTACGTAAAAATTAGTCAAATTAATAGAAAGTATACACTTTTATACATTATAGTATACTCGACAATTCATGTTTTGCTTGTGTAGTAAGAATTTTTGTATGCAAAAGAATTCACTTTTGGTATAGAATAAATGAACGAAAGCCTAATGCATGCAACAACTCGAGAGGTTGTGATGTGCTACTTGCTTAGGTTTCCATCTATTGTATTTATCTACATAGGAATGAATTCGTCCGTCAAACCCACCATTTGTATGCACCCAAACATGTTCAATAACCTTCGGCGTAAGCGACTTCATACTGCTATAGGCTCTTGTTAGGACTTAGATATGAACACCCACTTCTTTGGAATCCACCCTAATGTTTCTTAGTAAACAGGGACTCTTTCCTCGATTTCGTCAGCAAAGCTGTCTTATTAAGTTTTGGATTTCAACCTTCAGCTAAGCACCTATCTCATGAAATGGGGCCAACCTTCTCTTTTCTTTGTAATTGGACTTGCCCCAAAGAAAGGAAGCTTGGCGTGAGAACCCTCTAGATTAGGGAAATAAGAGCTTTTTGCATATGCGGTGAGGAAGTCAAATTAATTCTTGTTCATATATATGCTTCTTTGGTATGAAATGGTCCACTTCAAATAGGTCCATTGCTCCAGCTCAGGATACGATTAATCCAGCATGGGCTATATGAACCCCTAATAGTTTACCGGATAAATTGAGTTGTCGGGTAACCTTACCCATCAAGCAAAACCAGTGCTTTCTTGGGCAAGATCAATTAAGGCTAAAGTTCCATTAAAGAGACTTTCCACGTGGTAGAACCTTCTCAGGAAATATAAGGTTTTCATGAAGAGCATAAAAATTCAAATAAAAAAAAAATTAGCAAAAGCTACCCAACCTACTAGATCCTTTATATAAAAATAAGGGTAAGAAACAATTTTATCCATCTCCGAATGTACACCCTAATGGATTATCGGATCCATATTGATGCATTGCGGCAAGATGAAGAAGACTGACGTCTACTAAAATAAAGAGGAGAGAATGATGAGAATTTTTAACCAAACTAAGTCATTATATAGAACAATTTACCAAAGTAATACATTTTTCTAAAATTTTACAAAATTAGTATAAACGTATTTCACGATAACGTTTTAGGGTATATTTTATTTTTTAAAAATTAACAGCATTAGGTAAATATATGTTACTGTAAGTAACGTTTTACTCCTAAAACATTGTTTTCAGTAACGTTTTACTCCTAAACGTTACTGTGAGTAACATTTTAGGAGTAAAACGTTATTGTGAGTAACGTATATCAATCTGACGCCATTAAATTTTAAAAAATAAAATATATCCTAAAACGTTACTGTGTAATACGTTTATACTAGTTTTGTAAAAATTTAGAAAAACATATTATTTTGGTGAATGACTTTATATAATGGCTTAGTTTGGTCAAAACCTCGAATGATGAAGACTGAAAAAATAATTTAGGGTGGCATTGTCCACGGATAACCCACCCCTAAACCAAGACACTATGGTATCTCCAACTACATGTATGACACTAGCTAAGCATGTGATTATTGGTCGGATAATTTATTTAAAAGGGGGTTGATTTATGGGTCAGATTAGGTGTTTATGAGTCTGAATATCTTTTCATTTTCATATAAATGTTATGCGGTAAGGTCAAAATGGCATGACAATTCCATGTGGCATTTAAAGAAATGAAAAAATGAGTTAGATATGTCCAACATGACAACTAACGCCCATAAGGGCATATTTGGACCAAAAGTTGAATGGCAAGAGCATCAGTGAACCAAACTTTAAACGAATAATATATCTAGACCTTTTTTTAATTTTAGGGGCTCATTTGACCCCTTTCCCTTAAAAGAAAGATAAGCGACCAAGAAGAAGAAAAAGGATATGCAAAGAAGAAGAAGAAGAAGAAGAAGAAGAAGAAAAAGGAGGAGGAGGAGAAGGATGAGATAAAGGATAAGCAACACATAAACATACGAAGGAATGTGAAGTGAAAGGATAAACAACACATAAGCATAAGAAAGGGAAGGAGTATTAGCAATCAGAAGAAGAAGAATAAGTAAATAGAATCCGCAGAAGAAAAAGTGTCAAGAAGGAGGAGGATGAACAACCAGAAGCAAAAGACGAAAAAGTGTGGAAGGCCAAAGTTTTGTAACTTAAAAGTGATGAATGACCACTTTATGATGAGTTCTTTATTATTTTAAATGGGCTCTTTTGTGTAAAAAAGTTAATCTAATTGATATTTAGAGCTTGTTTGGCTCAGTTTAAAAGCTGGTCAAACTGACTTAAAAATTGATTTTTGACTTATTTAGCTGTTTGGCAATACTCAAAATAAATTATTTTAAGTTAAAAAAACGTATTTTAAGCCAAAAGTTAAAAGCTGGGGTAGGGGTGCTTTTTTTTTCCAGCTTATAGATGTTTTAAGTTGACCACATTTTTACCTTTTTGCCCTTAATATTTTTATACAATCTCCAAATTACCCACATAACCCTAACATCTCTTTCTTCTATTTTTTCCTTTTCACGTGTGGATGATAGACAATTACTATTACTAATGAATGAAAATAAAATAAATCTTAAATCTTTTAAGTGATCTATTCAAATTATATATTATTAAAATGTAAAATAAGTTGCACATATAACTTAAATAAAAATTTATATTCCTCTTATAAATAATTTGTGATAGTAAAGAAATATGTGAATGATAGACAATTAATATTACCTATGGATGAAACTAAAATAAAATCTTAAATCGTTCTTTAATCTATTCAAATTATATATCTTTAAAATCTATAATAAGTTTATATTCCTCTTATAAATAATTTGTGACGAGAAAGAAATATGTGAATGATAGCAAAATATAATTATTTATGGCTGTAAAATATAAAATAATTGACTTTTATTATGTTAACGGCTTTTAAGGGTATTTCAGACATTTCGATTTAAAAAGCTGTTTATCGGCACTTATTGCCAAATACATCAACAACTCTTTTTTTTTAACTTCAGCACTTTTATCTAAACGCATGACTGCTTATTTTAAAAATAAATTTTAGCACTTTCAAAAATACTTTTTTAAAGCTGCTTTTATTAAATCCATCCAAACGGGCCCTTAATCTAATTTGTCCAATAGTTTTTTACTTAATGCTTGTTTCCTTTTTGCTTCTTGGCAGTCTTTATGCTTTTATTTTGGAGTATATTTTGTTGATCTATCTTTATTTATTGGGAGAAGAGAAAATTTTGTAAGTAACATATTTAAAAGTTGTTATTATTAGAATTTTAGTTTTTGATAAATAATATTAGATTTCTAACGATATGTAATAAATAATTTTAAAGAATTTAAATTTAAAAACAAAAAAAATAGTCCTAACATAATTAATTGGCAAAATATCCTTTCCATATCAAAATAGTAATCAATATTTTTAAAACACGGGGCGTAAGATGAGACATTTTATGTGCTACGATTCAAGATATAAACCTTGAGACACACAACTAAGGCTCATGGATCCAGAGTAATAAACAACGAGCTACCACGCGTAAGATAACCAAGAAGAATGAGGAGCTAATAATAAAGAAAAGAGAGAGATATCAACAAAAATTATACAAAAAAAATCCATTTTCAAGACCTGAAATCAGTTAGCAACAGAGAGTCTAATCAAGTAAGAGTACAAGTACAATAGAAACATAGGTTGTCTCTAAATACAACACAAAGACTAGCCGAGCCAAAATAGAGGTAAATTAGTTATTCCAAAGCCATTGGGTCTGATCTTTTGCTGATGCTACCTGAAACATTGGGCCTTTGGGTCATTTTTCTTTGGAAAAATAACTTAAATACACAACTATAATTTTTATATTCTCCAATTTTCCCTACTTTTTTTAAATATTACATAATTCCCTATTTTTTTTATTTTAGTGTAAGTTTTTAGATACATTACATTCTCTCTCCTATAATACACATTTACCAATTTTAATGCCTATTTTTTCTCCATTAAAACACTCAACCTCTTAAATCAGTTTTTGAATTTTAAATTTTTTCCATTTAAACACTCAACCTTTTAATCAGCTTTTTAATTTTGAATTATTAATTTAAATAAAAGAACAAATTTTGAAATTTTGAATTTCAAAATTCAAAAAATATGGAAGCAGGGTAACTTCCACTGCATTCTACTGTTTTGTTCTTACCAAAGTCACCTTTCACTTCTTTTTTTTTCCTTAATCGTCTTCATCCCACTATTTCTTCATAACTTTGAATCTTCTCAACCCAGCGGATTTTTCTATTTTCTTCTTTTTATTCTTAATCCATATTCGACTATTTCTTCCTAATATTGAATCGTAAGAACCCAGACCCTTTTTATAGTTAATCCATCATCAATTCGTAGGACCCGTCAAATTTCTTCAGACCGGCCGCCGGCACTCTCGTCGGGAGAGAGATCAGAATCACAGAATTTTGCTCGCCAGCGAATTCTATGAAGCGATCTAAGGATCCTTTTGAGGCTACTTTTGAGGAGCAGGATGATTCACCCCCTGAATCCCCTGCTGGCACCGATGAGAATGAAGGCCAAGATCACGGTGCAGTTGGTGTTAATATGAATGAAGGTGACGATGTTAATACCGATTCTCGTGAAAAACCTTCAACATCTAAAGCTACTTCAGTCTCTGTTAGTACTGCTGGTCCAATTAGCAAACCCAAAGAGGAAGATGAGGAGGAAGAGGAAGAAAGCATGGATGTGCAGTTAGGAAAACTCTCATCAAGTAGTGATCCTGACAAACTGGCGAAGATGCAGTCCATCTTATCCCAATTTACAGAGGAGCAGATGAGTAGATATGAATCTTTTAGGAGATCTGGATTTCAGAAATCCAACATGAAGCGGTTGCTGACCAACATCACAGGAAGTGCAAAGATATCTATTCCTATGACAATTGTGGTGTCTGGGATAGCAAAAATGTTTGTCGGTGAGCTTATTGAAACAGCTAAAATGGTGATGGCAGAGAGAAAAGATACAGGCCCAATCAGGCCATGCCACATAAGAGAAGCATATAGAAGGTTAAAACTTGAAGGCAAGATTCCAAAAAAATCAGTGCCAAGGCTTTTCCGGTAGTGAACGTGGAAGCAACCTGTAGTTATATTTCAGATTTGTAGTAGTCAGCCACTTTCCTCGCAGAAAGGCGTAAGGATGAACTTGTAAATCTTGGACGAAAAGATTCATGAGGTGTACCTTTACAAGGTGAGGCTTTAGCTTCTCTTTGAAATGTTGGGGTTCCATTAAAGAAGTAAATTTCGAGGGGCATCAGCCATGGTGGGAAGAGAGCTCTCACCTTGACGAAAGGATTGGCAGGACGAAGATCCTGAACAAATTGTTTCTTAACTGTGTAGTTTTTGGTGTTGGTACATTGAGTTTCAGCTGTTGCCATCATTTTTCCCTTTTTCCAGAAGGGCATACTTAGGATACATGAAATTATGAAAATAGTAGAAAATGTTTGGAAAAAACAGATCGAGTTAAGTGGCATTCCAAAAAAAAAAATCATCAATTCGTATATTCTTCTCTTTTTCGTTTTTGTTAATTATTCTACTACTTCATAGTAATGGATCCGTCAATTAATAGAAGGATATATGATTCCGATGATGATAATTGGAAAGAAAATAGGAAAAAGTCTTTGCATGATCCTATGAATCTTCAAAAGGATTCAAACAAAGACCATGGCGAAACATCAAAGGTTGTAAAAATACAACCAAAAAGGAAAAAAGAAGCAGCAAACACTGTTGTTAGGCCTACATTGTCTCGAGTTAGTATTTTGGTACTTAAAAATGGTGTTGTTTAAATTAGTAAAATTTTTAAGGAATCAAGTGTGATTGCTGATACATTTTAAAAAGGGTGTATAGTGTTTTAGATGGTCAACTGATACGTGAATTTGTTGTGTTTCATAATATTTTATATGTATCATTAGGTTTTTGAAAATTATTATAATGTATCATTCAATAAGTGTAGTAAAGTATAATCTGTGCTTGATGATACATGTTGAATCTGTGTGTACATTGTTTAGTCAATGTAATGATACATGTAGTAGCTATGTATCACATGTTCTGCATGTAGTATGAATTCCTGTATAATATCATGTATCAGTAAGGTATTAGTTGTTTAGTTGATTTACTCATACATGTTTTGAAACTTGTTATAATGTATCATTCATTAAGTTTAATAAATGCTTCATCAGATATAGTTGATGATACATATAGATTCTTTGTGTATGTTGTTTAGTCGCTGTTTATGATACATGTATTAGACATGTATCACATGTTATAATGTTTTATTTAATTCAATGATACATGTTATAGACATGTATCACATGTTTTTCATATAGTATGAAATTCTGAAAACTGAAACCATGTATCATTAAGTTATTAGTTGTTTTATTTAGTAGTTATATTTCTATATCGTTTTAATTTGCGGTTTTATTTTCAAATTGCAGCCACTGAAGTACAAGATTAAAAAGATACCAACACATCCCATAAGGTTTGCTGTCAACTTTAACAACAATTTCCTAAAGGACTTTGAAAAATACGTGGGGGATAATGTTATCCAAATATTTAAGGATACAATTTTTGAACCCTTTTTAGACATCTCTAAATGTAATTTTCAGGGCCAAATAACTAAGTGCTTATTGCTTTTAGAATTGGAACAAAGCAACCCTAATGTGTTGCATATTAGACATTCCAACGGGTGTGTCCTGAAATTTGGTATAGATGATTTTGCATTATTAACAGGACTTAAGGTCAGAGGAAATACCAATGATTTCAAATACCCAGAACAAACTAATTGTATGCTTTTTAAAAAGTATTTCCCTGGTGCAGTCAATAGTGTTACAAAGCATCAACTAGTTCAAAGGTTTAAGATGGGTAATTGGGAGAGCAATCAGGATGCACTCCAAATGTCTATACTGTTCTTTATTCATACATTTGTATTAGCTACTATTGATAACACAACGATATCTATTGTCGACTTTCTAATGGTTGAAGATGGTAGATATCAACATTTTCCTTGGGGTCAGCTATCATTTTCCAAACTAATTGGTTCACTTAGACAGGATTTTGACGTTAGTAAAAAGTTGTACCGATTATATGGGATGCCATATGCACTAAATGTTTGGATATACGAATGTGCATCCAATTTAAATTCAGAAATAGCTGTGAGAGAACGCAATGTCATCCCAGGAATATGCAATTGGAGAGTTGTGTCTGAAAAGGCAAAGTTTGAAATGCTTATGTCCACCATTTTTCAAAAGGTAAAATTTTATTTTTGTATATGGAATATCGTTATTTATGTCTTTGTGATACATTATGAATTATTACTGTATCTAACAGTTAAATTATCTTATGTGTTTGTGATACATTTAGAATGCATGTTCAAACATTGTCCCAACAGCAGAGGAAATTGAAGCTTTTGATATTGCTCAAGTTGAACATGCTCATTCTACATCAATACCATTAGTACAACCAAACGAGCAAGATGATTTAGATGATTTCTCCACAAGACCGCCAGAACAGTTATTGAGGACATATTCTATAGTGTCTGATACATCTCCTCCACCACCGCCAAAAAGAAGAAAAAAATCGATTATTCAAAAAAAGAAGGTGTCAGAACAGAAACAGCCTGATCAATCAAATGTGTCTCCGACACCAGATGATGATGTACATGTTTCCATGTCAAGTCTGCCTCAACATTCGAATGCTGATGATGTACATGGTTCTGTTCCACAAGTGTCACCGAAATCGGTTGCTGATGTACATGGTTCTGTTCCAGACGTTTCTCAGAACCCGGCTGCTGATGTTCATGGATATGCAGATTCACAGAATGTCAACAATATAATTCCTCATATTGAAGATTTGAAAGGATATTTGAAAACTTACGTAAGTAAATTATTTTGTAATTTTTAAACAAACTTTTATTTATCCTAAATGTATCTACAATTTTTAGGTTGACAAGAAATTTGAGGAATTGATTATTTTGATAAAAGCAAATCACTCCCAGCTGATGCAATCTATTAGCAAAGAGAACATCAATTTTCAGGCTGATACAAGCACATTTCAGTCTGACAAACAAACATCTCAGCAAATACCGGTTGATCTCGATGATATGGGTGGTGTAGCTGAGGATGGTGGTGGTTTTTCTGGTAAAAATGGTGAGCATCATATCGTCGACGATGCAGTGGATGTCGATGTGGATGGTGTTGGTGTTGCCGTAAATGAGGGTGAACCAATAGTCAGTGATCCAAAGGTAATGTTTATGATACATTGGGTATGTTGTGTATCATGCATATATAGTCAATGCTTTGTATCATGATCATTTTTTTTTCTCATTTTATATTCTGTCATGTATCATACATATTTAATCAATACTATATATCATGTGATTGTTATCAATGTTACGTATCAGCACAAATTATATTAACAGTTTTTATTTCAAAACTGCATATTCAGGATGGTGACGCACATCAGTCGCACCAAGATTTAAATGAACATATCATGGACCAAGCCGTTGACGACAATGTTCATCACAACATCCCTCATGTGTTGCCCGAAAAAACAACAATGGATTCATCGGTACATTTTTCAATTTTGATTTATGACACACAATTTCATTACACACAAATTTATTCTAAAAATCATTACATCATATTATACAGGATTCTTCAACTTCAACAACAATATCGCCATCAACTCAAGCAGCAATAGATGCGCTTATCAAAGATTTGGGTAAAGATGCTACCAATGCTAGACCATTATATTCTTACGATCCAAAGAATATAACTAGCAGCTAGTACTTGTTGACCGACAGTCAATTACCCACTGAAATTCCAATAACGGAGATTGCTGTTAAAACTGATGTAGTTACTCCTGCGCATAGAAATAGAATGCCTTCGAGAAGGATTCAATCTCCATATTGTACTTCTTTTGGGTCAAGCGAAAAGGGAAAAGAGAAATTGAAGGATATGGCTCGACTCCATTTCCCGTTCGAAGGATGTGGCATTGCAGATAAAGTTTCACCGAAACTGATTGAGGATTACATGAATTGGTTGTTGAGGGGGCTTCTAAAAAATCATAACAATAAGTAAGTTTTATACATTTTTTTTCTCAGTGTTAGGCGTAATCATTTTATATACAACTAATTCATGATACTTTGTTATATAAAAACTGTAAATAATTGAGTGTTATGTATCATGTACATACATTGAAAACTTATGTATCATATATGCAGGAACCCATCGGACGATAAATACAGATCAAGATCTTCTTCTTTTGGATTTACGATGATGGACTTTGTTGTTGCTTTTCCAATGAACAAGAATTGGTTTTATGCCATGTCACAGCCAAACAAGTGTTGGTCTGATGAGGTAAAATATTAAACTATTTATGAAATATGTATCAGTCATAACTATATTATAACATCATGATACATTATCTATAAGTATCATACTATTTAATTAGCAATGATACATTATGTATAAGTATCATACTATTTAATTTGCAAAAGTATCATACTATATTCACATAATTATATTTCTTTTTTTATATTGTTTAGATGTAAATAATTTCTTACTCTGTTTTCATTTTGTTTATAGCACATCGATGTGATTTTTTACTACCTTCGTAAAAAATCAAAACTTTGCAGCATGGATCAATACAGATACACAACAACCCACTGTTTGTTCATGTCACATGTAAAAAACTGTTATGATAGATATTACATGGACGATGATGATGATAGTCTTACTACACAAGAACATATTGATCGCGCTTCAGTTGTATCTGTACATGAAAGGTCAATAATTAACATCATCAAAGGGTTTGGAATACCAGCTGCTTTACCATGGCATCTTGTAGATGAGGTCTACATCCCAATTAACTGTGATCAACAATTCCATTGGGTGTTGGCTGTTGTTGAGTTGAAAAACAGGTTGATAAGGGTTTTTGACTCATCAATTAGCACAAGGAAACAAACAATTCCTCGTGAGATCAAGATGTTGTCTAAAATGCTTCCTTCATACCTACTTGACAGTGGATTTTTTGAAGAAAATGAACATACAAAATTTGCTGATTGTCAAACATATAAAGACAACAATAATGGCTCACTTCTGGAGCCTCAAGTTCCTTTCATGATAGAATTTGCACAAGACATCCCTACACAGGAAAGCGATAGCCTGTAAGTATCAAGAATTTTTTCATTTGCCCTTTTTAATGTATCATTAAGTTTTTAATTTATTCTGTACTTTTTGTAGAGACTGTGGGTTATATGTTACTACATTTGCCGAGTATATCAGTGACCAAATCAATATATCTTATGCTGATTTTAATCCTGATTACCTGCGTCAAAGATATGGAGCATTGCTGTGGAGTTATGGAAGTGAGAAGGCTAAGTGCGGATATGTTAGCGACAATGATGATCCACCAAAATCCAGGGGCGTAGTCACACCACCACCAGAAGAAGATTTAGTTCACATAGCGTAGCATTTCATGATAAAACAATGTTTTAATGTCATATTTATTATTTTTATATGTTATTGAACAACTATTTTTATCCTTTTTAATGTTATTATTTTGGTTTTGTCAATTTCCATGAATATTTTTTTTCACATTACGTAACAAATTTGTTTATATTGAAGATATAAATATCAAATGATAGACGTAAAGATTTTTAAATTTTTAATTTAAAATAGACATAATAAATATACTGACAAAACCAGGTTTAAATCATTTAATAAAGTATAATCAAAGTATTTATAATCAAACATAGACATAAAGATTTTTAAATTTTTTATTTAATCTAGATGATACACTCCCAAAACCAAATGATACATATGTATCAGAAACACACTAAAAATAACTGATACATTGGCCAAACCGTATGTATAATGTACAATATGTTACACTCTAATCCTTAAATTTTACAAGATATTTAGGTAAATTGAATAGCATATTCATATGAATTGCTATTATTTTTTTAAAGGAAAGTTATTTACTGTATATTTCAATAAAAGCATATCAAAAAAAGCATTACACAAGTTAAATTATATAAATTCACATGATACATGATTTATAGTCATTCTAAAGTACTCAATAACATTAACAATATATTTGTATTTTTTATCTAATGGAGATGTATCATTGTGCAAACCAATGATACACACTAAAAGTACATGATACTTTATATAAACAATGTGTACAAAAAATACACAATAAATGTACATGATACACTAGATTAACCATATGTATCATGTACATTATGTTATCTTACTGTAGCATAAGATTTATATATTCAAAACAAATATTGACACAAGTATTTTTATCAACACCAATAATAAGAAAGTATTTATAATCATAAGCACGACTTCAAATGTAATTACCACATGTTTGTACGTTTATTTATCTAAACACAAAGTGTTCAATTTGCAGTCGTAATTAAAACTGAAATTCATTAAAATGTTTACGTGATAAATTATTCTTTATATCATAGAAACATTACGACAAATTCACTTCTCTTTTGGGTAGAAAGTACAAGTTCTTCTGTTGTGCCCTTCTTGTCCACATTGTCCACAACAGTTTGTGTTCACCGATATCTTTTCATCTGCATTCTTTCTTCTTCTTTTTCTTGGTCGTCCAGATGATCTTCTGTATCTAGGTGGATACACGGTTTCAGCTACCACGTGTTTAGGATCTGACCAATCTTTCTTATCTGGCATTGGCACCATTGGAATTTCATATGTTTTTGCCAACGCATCAGGCTTGTAATAATCAGAGCAATACGGATTCATATCGGTGACATTCTTTTTTTTCAATACAGCGATTGCATGTGAACAAGGTATCTCATCTAGTTGAAATCTACCACAACAACATACTTTCCGCTCAAGACAAACAATATATCTTCTTCCATTTTCATGAACCGAGAAAATAAACTCAGATGATGGAACAACCTGTGTACATTAAAAATTTTAAATATATAACTTTTAAAAACCAAATCATGTTAAAAAAAAGCATAATGATACACAGAATTAGATATATATAATATAAAGTATCGTATAATGATACATACCTCCATTTTTGAACTTTTAGCCGCGTTTATAATCAACAATTCCTCAAATTTTCTACCTAATGTGTCCTTTGTGTATGAGGCTACTTCTCTGTTTTTGCAATGCCAAGATCCAAAAAGAATTCTAACCTCTTCCAAGAATTCTAATATAGTTAATTGGCGTGCTTCAACAAGACAACCATTGATACATTCTGCAATGTTTGAAGTCATCATTCTACCTCTGTTTACTGTTGCATGAACTCTTGACCACTTTTCGTAACCTGCATATTCAAGGTACTCCTTAACCCTGTGATCAATTCTATCAACCTTAGCCATCAACTTATCAAAATCTTCCTTTCTATATGCCTTGGCCATAGAGTAGAATAGATCACTTATGGCCTTTCTGCTCCTTTTGAAGTTTCCACATACATTCTTCCAAAGATGCCAGATGCATGCATAATGAGGTACATCGGGGAACACAATCCTTACACTCTTCATGATACTCTCATTTCTATCTGAAACAACACACATATCTTTTCTATCGCCAAATGCATGTTTGAACTGTTCGAAAAATCATTTCCACGAACAATCATTTTCGGTGTCAACAACACCATATGCCAATGGAAATATGCAACCTGATTACACACACATTATATTATTTGATACTTAATATATAAAAAGACATCATTAATATAAATAAAAAATACCTGCGCCATCAAGTGTGCTTGCTGATACAAATGTCCCTTTGTAAGCTCCACTCAGATGTGCACCATCCACAACAACTACTGGTCTGCAGTATTTAAATCCCCTAATGAATGGTCTTAAGGCGATGAACATATACATAAATTCATCCTCTTCAGTCTTATGCATTCTTATATAAGAATCTGGATACACAGTTTTTAACATGTGTATGTATCGCGGCATCCGTCTATATCCAGCAGATGGTTTTCCTCTAATCATGGAGAGTGCACGTTCTTTAGCACGCCATGCTTGCTGGTAAGATATTTCAACACCATAATATTCTCTAATATCATCAATTATATCCCTTGGTGTATAAATTCGTTTATAATTGACCAATTTTGGAGTTGTCACTCCACTTACAAATCCCACTGTTGCTTGGACTTTGGTTAATACCCTCTCCCTCATCAGACACGTATGTTCACTATTGAAATTTCTAACAATGAATATATCAGATTTTTTCCTGCACGACGCCTTCATAGTCCAACCACATTTGTCTGAAAAGCATACCAACACATAGTTGCGTACATTTTTCAAGCATATTAATACACATATCAAATACATCATATATAATATATTCAACAATAATGTTTAAAGTAATCAAACAATGAATCACACAAAAAGTATCAACCAATTTTTAAGAAAAGTATCAAACTTTAATGAAATTTATCCACTATTTGTGATATGACTGTTTAAAATGATACAGTCCTTACTATATCAGTAGTAGTACTTTCAAGTATCAAATATACTTATTTCAATGTATCAAAAACAAATTCCTGAAATGATGATACATTAGATTATAAAATAACATATGAAACTTGCAGGTTTTCATATAGAACAGTAATGTTTCATGTACTAATTAAATTATAAAACAACACATGATACATTAAAATATCAAAATACTGTCATACCTTTGTTGATCAGACCTCTTCACTTTGCAGTTGAAGTTGTTCTTTATCTTATATTTCGTCATCACATCTACAAGTGTTGCTTTATCCTTGTATATCTGACATGTCTTCACATCAACAATATCTGAATTGATTATAACATTTGCAACTCCAACTTCTGAATTTTCATGTGTCTCAAATAAGCTATTTTCAACTATTGCCAAAGCCTGTGTATCATTTGTTGTGCCTTCTACACACGTTATTTCTCCACTTCTTCCATCAAAGTTATGTACAGTACCACTATTCTTCTCAATTGTGTCAATACATAATGGATATATTGAAAATTCAGGCTCGTTTTTTTTCAGTTCAAAATATAGTTTAACACTCATATCGCTCTTAAGTTTCATCGGACAGGAATTACCTCTACAATGTATCGAATTTCAATTTCTTTCCTTGATACATCAATGTCCAACTCGGCCGCAATTGTTGCTTTGAGATTAGAAAACGAAATTGAATCTCCAACAACGATTCCATCAATTTTGTAATTTTCATACTGCAATTCGTTCACCCAAATTCCGGAATGTCTCATCAAAATCGAAGTATTCATCTTCAAAAACCCACTGCAACAACAAAAAAATTTCGGCAGCTCCAATTGTTTTCTAAATAACTGATACAATCTTTGATTTTCAAATTATGAAATTAATATCCAATTAAGTGCTGATTTAATGCTGATTAATGATCTGTTACCACAAATTAAGCTGTTTTAGTAACAGCTTTAAATTTACCGTTTTTATCCCCTATTTTTTCTCAACAGTTTTAAGTTACTATGTATCATTTACCATGTATCACAACTTTCTAAAGTATCACGGCTCAGCAATTTTAAGGGATTTTTTGTAATTATTAAACTTATCGGGACAGAATGTAATTATTGAATTACACTATGGGATTCCTTAAATTTATACATTTTCTTTTTATATCGATCACTGCTTATTGTTGTATATGATTGTATTAGATATATATCTTCTTGTATATCAGCCTTCGAGACCTGTTTAATAACTCCATCTACATTATATTTCAGTTTTTATCCTTCGAAATAAAGTTAACTTAAGAGATACAAAATTGTTAGGCTTCAGCCCAACAGAGAGTGCAAAAGGAAACTAAAGAGCCCAAATGACCAATGTGAGAAGAAATTTATGCAAGAAAAATAAAATATATATATATATATATATATATATATATATTTTATTTTTCTTGCATAAATTTCTTCTCACATTGGTCATTTGGGCTCTTTAGTTTCCTTTATATATATATATATATATATATATATATTAGGATAAACTCAACAACACAAAATAAAGATTATGCATGATAGATTTTCAAACAAATCATTTGAAACTTGAATATAGAATCACTACGTAGAAATAAAAAAATAGAGATAACTAATCACAGTGCATTAAGTACATAAGAAGAGAATGAATCAACCTTAATGACGCATAGAAGACAACACAAACCTTTTACTCTTGTAATTAGCCTTAAAACATGTCAAGTTCTATGTCTGGTATTTCCTCTATCTTCGTCTTCTCTTTTTCTAATAACTTAATCAGATCCTTCAACTTTTCTTCTCTATATACACACACAGTCATACAATCAACATAATTATAATAATATTTCAAGAAAAGATCACGTAATTAATGGAACACAACTAATTTAGTTGTATAGAGAGAGTGATTAATTTTAACATTGTTGATAGTATTTGAAGATTGATCAACTTCCTATGAGGTCACTTTTATAATTTTCAAATCCATACATCTATTCTTCAAAATTGTCAACCTAATATGAAGTACCTTTGCTGTTCAAATAATTGGCATGTAAAAATACTTTGAAATTGCATTTCATGACAACATACTTGAACTATTAATCTATTCTCTAATTTCGTTATAATAATTTCCTCATTACCCATTATGATCTCTTCTTCGTTAATTTTATCATCACGTAATAACAAGATTTTCTTCAATACATTTTCAATCAATCCAAATTCATCTATCATTTTCTTCTCATTAAGATTTCTTCAAATCATAATTGTATATCACCTATATACAACAATTACTAGTCTTGACCTTTTTTTTTTGAAATAAATAAATAAAAACAGTTCATTATATATGACTCAATCTCATTATTAACAAAGCTATAAAAAGATAAAATAAATAAAAGTACTACATTCAATTTTCATCGAAGGATTATTGTTATTATTATTTGTTATATTTTCTTCAATACATAAAACAGAGTGTCTTGAAAATTCACTGTTTTGGAGCATATATAACATATTAGTTTATATATATCATCACACATCTAATAAAAACACGTGCACAAATACCTAGGACTATACCAGACATTTGTTCACATACTTGCGATGTTGATCAACCTAAGCTCTCATATCAAATTTTCACGATCTAATTTATCAGGTCATGATGACACCTACTGCACCCATCACTAGATAAGACTAATTCTTAGTCAAGAGCCATAAAATGAAATACCTCACAAATAAAGGTGGATATATTTCAATTCAAATTAAAAAAATTAGTCGAACTTAAATCTTTTTAATTTCAATTTTTTATTTGTTCGATCATTTTCGGTTTCAAAATTAAAATTTCAATAATTCAGTTTGATTTTTAATATATAAAATTTCGATTAATCGAAAAAACAAAATTTTCAATACATTATAATTTGTAGAGATAATGCACAAGTACTCCTCAACTTATGTCTGAAATCTCAGAGACACACTTATATTTTACTAAGGTCCTATTATTCCCCGAACTTATTTTATTAATAATTTTTTACCTCTTTTCGGCCTATGTGGCACTATCTTATGGTTCCAATGCTGGTTGACTTTTTTTTCTCCAAGATAGTGTCACATAGGTCGAAAAGGGATAGAAATTCCTTACAAAATAAATTCAGAGATTAACGGGACCTTAATATAATATAAATGTGTCTCTGAAATTTCAGGCATAGATTGAAAGATACTTCTCCATTTTTCCAAATTTGTATTCCAATTTACATGCCACTAACCATTATTAATTGGCCCAAATTTATATACCCAAGCCCAATCCAATCCAACTAAAATTTGTAATCCCTAAAATCAAGCACAGTACTCGCTTTCAAAAACTAATCTTATTTCATCATGTGTTAGTTGGCTGCTGCAAATTCTCACAAACAAGTGAAGAACTCTTAATTCACCATTATTGATGTCGCAGATCTAGACCACCATTGTCGCTGTAGCTGACAACAAGACAACTATTGCTTGACACTTTCTTCTTCTCTGTATCTATTGTGGTATATGTTTTGTTCATGTCCGTCTGTACCCACTCACCTTGTTTTGTCGTTTTTAATTAGAGTTTATACTTGTCTTGAGGGTAAGCTTACAAGATTTAAATTTCATTTTCTATTTGGTTGATGATGATGGAAACTCAGCGTATCCGAAAATCAGCGTCATTAGTGTTATGAAAAGAATTAGAAATCAAATTGGAACAGTTCAAACCGAAAATTAAATCAAAATAAACCAAATCGAAATTGCAGAATTAAATCAAATTTATTTCAATTCGGTATCGATTAACATTTTCACCAAATCAAAAACTAAAAAATTGAACTGAATTTTGCAAATCGATATAAATCAATAGAACGCCAGCCCTACACACGAAAGATATAGAGAAAAAGCAAGAGCTACAATTTGCAACAAAAATTTTAAAGTGATAAAAAATAAATTACAACCACAGTAAAATAAGAAGAAACATAACTTTATTGATAAGAATTACGGGTACAATTCTATTCTCCTTTGATTTCACTCTCCTAAGATTTATCCATTATTCGAAAACCGTTCGAAAACTGTTATTAACATATTTCTCAAATTAGAATAATTTAGATTTGAACTCTATATGAATATTCTTTGACTTTTGTGGAATATATCGATGTCTTAATCTTTAAAAATATCCAAGGATTTATGGGATATTTTGAGATGCTTTATAATACTCAAGGATTTATGGGATATTTTGAGATTTATATGAGAATTTAGTATTTTTTTATATAGGCATGAAGTAGGGTTTAGAATTGAGTAATCTCTAAAAATTTTAGTTAAAACTGAACACACCTTCTAAAGAGTACCAATTCGAATTGAGCACATTTCCATAAAATTTCAGTATCTATACTACTAATAAGGAGAGGTAGATCAATAAAAATAATATAACAGATCATTTTCTTGACCCAAAATCAGCCAGCCGTGAAGGGTATAAACAAATAAGAGCCTGTTTGGCTCAACTTAAAAGCTGGTCAAACTGACTTAAAAGCTGATTTTTTTATTTATTTAACTGTTTGACAATACTCAAAATAACTTATTTTAAGTTAAAAAAAAAACTTATTTTAAGCCAAAAGTTAAAAGCTGGGGCAGGAGTGTTTTTTTTTAGCTTATAAGCTGTTTTAAGTTGACCACATTTTTATCTTTTTGCCCTTAATAATTTTATACAATCTCCAAATTACCCACACAACCCTAACATCTCTTTCTTTCATTTTTCCCTTTTCACGTTTGGCATAGAAATTTCAGCACTTTTATCCAAACGAATAACAACTTATTTTAAAAATAAGTTTCAGCACTTTCAAAAGTACTTTTTTAAAGCTGCTTTTATTAATTTCATCCAAACGGACCCTAAGAGTATGACTTTTAAAAATACAATACTAGCATAAGTCTTCTCAGAATACAACATAAACACTAGCCTAATCAAAATAGATGTAAACTGATAACTCGAAAGCTTGGGCTTGATCTTTTGATGTTGTAGCCTAAAACATTGGAACTTTAGCCCATTTTCATTGAAATTTCGGGTATATATATATATTTCACCTTCATTCCTTCTAATGACTGGTGAATAACGATACGATATTTTTGGACTTAGCACGACGGAGAGTGCAAAAGAAAATTAAAAGACCCAAGTGACTAAATTTAGAAGAAATCTATGCAAGAAAAAACAAAGAAAAAGACTAAAAGAAAATATCATACACAAAATAAAAAAATTATAAATGATTGATATTCAAGTAAATCATTATGAAATATATTAACTTCAAAATAGAATTCAC